TTTGCGGGCAGCCTGAATATGAGGCAGCGTGATTACCTGCACAGTTTGCACACTTAGGCTGAAGAACAGACTTGCACTCCTTATGATGGTGTTCTTCTGAGCAGATCTTACACCGGCGTGTGTTACGGCAACTTTTCGCCATGTGTCCGAATCGCTGGCAGTTATAGCACCGAAGTGCTGGACCAAGATATTCTTCCACTGGGTGACTGGTGAATCCTAAGTAGATTCTTCCTGGAATCGGGCGGTCATCTCGAAAAGTCAGGATAACTGAGTGAAGTGGACGCGTCGTTACTCCTCCATCTTCCTCGCGGTAGCATTTTATTTGCCGTCGCACCGATATAACCCCTGCATCTCTCAAGTACTCTAGGAGTTGTTCATCTGAATACTGCAGAGGAACATGTTTTACTTTCCCAACGTTCCGAGTGTATGACTCTGGGATGAAAGGCTTAACTTCCAAGCCACCTACATTTGAGAGCATCAGAAGACGCTTGGCTGAACTTAAGGAAGCAACGCTGACACTAAAGCTTCCATCTCTGGTCGTTCTGAATGACTGCACTTTTTCTTTAGCAGCGGAAACTACTTCAGCTGACATTCGATTGGGGTTCACTTTCCAGAAGCTAGCACCTTCAGCTGTTGGACGAAAGACGACTGGGATACCCTCTGCTCGTTTCTTTTTATAAGTAACCAACGTAAATGGTTCATCTTCGCCCATGTCTTCTTCATCACTTAGGTAATAAGTTGACGTTTTATCGTCGAGAGCATTCTCTTCTAAGCGAGGCTTCTTGCTCTCAGCTTCATCGTCTTCCAATGCTGCTGTGCTCGCTGGAGCCATTTCGCGGTTGTGAATTTGCAAACGTGCCGGCTTTATGATGCTTGGACGCACCTGTAAGCCCCCAGGCTTTTCATTGTGTCCTGCAGTATCACTCATGTGGTTTAACGCACTCGGACGAGCATAAGGCTCGTGGCGATGGCTACCAACCACCGTAGTGGTCGCGTACTAGCCAAGTCTTTGATAACGGAACCTCGTACCTGTAGGGCGCCGAGCCCTCAAAGTCTTCACCCGGCGCCTTTTTGGCACACCGCGAAGAAATGGATGTCAGCGTAAACGATGCAGGAGCTCGATCGCATACGTCCGACGCCACTCCGGAATGATGCTAGTTTTGATAGGGTACAGTGAAGTTGCCCGTGGTTCCAGCCGAAGGTCAGCGGAGCCAAAGCGCAGCACAGCCTACATCATCGCGCGCTTGCAGCGCCTCCCAACCTTTGCTAAGCCGGCTGTTCTTTTCTCCTCGATTTTTTTGGTATTCCGTTTGCTGCCAAAACCCATCGTCTTTCTTGGTCATGTCCTGCGATGTGGACAGCTGAGCACGTTGGTAATCCGTGATGAAGAACGGTAACAGCGCACTAAAAACAGACGCGCACTGTGTGTGTGTGTGTGTGTGTGTGTGTGTGTGTGTGTGTGTGTGTGCGTGTGTGTGTGTGTGTGTGTGTGTGTGTGTGTGTGTGTGTGTTGTGCGCTTTCTTCGTGTCCTCGTTTTTTGATGCGCTTTTACCATTCTTAATCTTGGTCATGTCACTCATCCATGACTGCAAACATGCGCAGCAGCCGGTAATATTCCTGGTGGGCGATGTTGGCTGCATAGTGGTGGTTGGCCCGGACCACACTGCAACACTAAGTGAAGATCTGCTAGGACTATCTGGTGGGTGACACTGGCTGCTGTCACTGGTAGGTATAGGTCATACAGCAACGTCATAGGAGCTGTGAGAGACGCATCTGGCGACGCGCAGGGGCTGTCGCAAAGAAACGGCAGATGAGCCACACACACACCAGGAGGAAATAGATGGGACAGCGTCCTAGAGGGCACCATAGGTGGCACGGTTTCTAGGTGCTCCTTCTCGCTTACATCTGCGTGGTTGCGAACACCAGAATTATGGGCCTTTTTCCCCAAAAAGACTCTGTCTTTGTTTCGACGAGAAGTGAGAGGCCCTTTTTCGACTCTCACTCAATTAAAATGGAGCGCGTACAGTCTCTTTTATCAACGTGTGGTGGATCTGAAGCTGATCTACGTGGCATACCAGGTGCCTTCCTTGAGGGCTGCAGCACAGGGTGCTCCAGAAAAGATGTTGGTACAACCATCAGCACATTTAACTTGAACGCTTCGACGTGCGGCTTCCACTCGCTTAGACTAAGTACAGCGCCACCAAACGTTGAAAATGATATGCTTGCTGCAGTTAACCATCGATGGAGCACGCATCGGTTTCACTAGTAAATTTCTGTTTCCCGTCTGCCTAACCGACGGATTGAATGCACGCACTTGGCATCCCGTTTTCGACACGTCCCGCTCGCGGCTTCGTTACAGCGCACGCCCACGACGTTTGTTGTCGTATACTTATTTCGACAATGAACCATTGGGTGTGATAGCTTACACACCTCTTGAGTTTGAATTCACATCTGCTGCTCCAAAGAAACCACATGTATGAAAAGCTAAGCAAACACAGGTTCATTGCGTTTGTTAAAGTTGCACAATAAATCAGTCTGAAATGCGGTGGCGTTGTTCATGCTCTGATTCATTAATTTTCAGGCAGAGTGGACTGAATTGTTCTGTTAGTTTAGGAGTGTGATTTCTTGCTCGGTTCCCGCTGTATAAAAAATGTCGTCTTGGAGAGAAAGATTTCAGCGTGCGAAAATATTATTTGTGCATGGAACATAAATGAACCTGAATGGCATGCTATCCTTGGCTTGAACTTTAGCTGTTTTCAAATCTATTCAACAGCCACCTTGTGCGCCTTGTCTGGGAGTGTGAGTATACCTTACAAACTTTTTAAAAGAACGGAGGTTTCTGCAAAGAACTTTACATATAAACCACAATCGAACGTCTCTTTTTCTGACATGACATGCTTCCGCAAGCACACACCTGTCTTGAGTCACCGTGCCTAATCTTTTAGCCTGAGAAAACTATTGATTAAGATAATGAAAGCAGCTTTTGTGAAAGTCACACATGACCCTTTGCACATCCCAAATAATCACAGGACCTTCCACTCCAGATATTTGTACGTATTCTATAGTAAAAACTAATTAAAAGCATTTTGTGGTGGCGGAAAAACATTTATTGATAGCGAATGACATCACTGCCAAGCACTCATCAACAAGCTTTCTTCATGTTGCTGCCGTTTCACATACCTTGATGTACCGAAAATAGCCACACTATTGTTCAAGCTCTTCCTTTTAAAAACAGTTTTTGAATCGTGACGGCCATCAGATGTTGGAGTTCCTGCACCAGGAAGATGCGATGTGCCGACGTGTTATTGTATGTGTACATTCGCACTGCTAGTGTATAGTATACTCTATTTATTATCAGCATATTTTTTTACTTAAACAGTCAGTATTGTAATGGATAAGATGGAAATTTAAGCTTTTATGCGGTAGCTACACACTAAAGTGCTTGGTTTGCATTGTAACCACGCATTTTTCGTGCTGAGAACACGCACAAATAATGCACTTCAAGACATCATCCGGCCCGCCTAAACCGAACTGAAAGATACACTCTAAATTTTGAAAACAGTTTACTTCACGCCGTCTGCAAATTAATAAATCAGGGCATGAACAAGGCTACCGCATTTCAAACCTATTTATTATGCAACATTTACAAACACCATGAGCCTTTGCTTGCTCAGCTTTTCTTATATGTTATTTCTTTTGGGCAGCAGCTTGGATTTTAAACCGGAATGCTGCGTAAGCTTTCGCACGGAATGGCTCATTTTCGACATAAGCTTGTATGCGACAACGAACAACAATGCTGCCCGCGATAACAAAGTCGCGAGTGAAACATGGCGAAAACGGGATGCCAAGTGCTTTCGACGTACCGGTAAAGCAGACTTTTGCAGAAATGTGCTAGTGAAACCAACGCGCGCTCCATTTATCGTTAACTGCAGCAAGCATCTCATTTTGAACGCTTGGCGCCACTGACCTCTGTCCGAGTGAGAGAGGCAACGCATCGGAGCGTTCCAGTTAACGGTGCTGACGACTGTACGTCAAAATTAGACGAGATTAGCGAGTGAGCAACACTTTTGCGCTTGCTTCCGAGAACTTCTTCACTGAGCATCAGCTTGTTGGGCTCGTTGAGCTCCATTCCCACGATTTTTCTCAAGTTGTTCCTCATAGCCCCGCCGCGGTGGTCTAGTGGCTAAGGTACTCGGCTGCTGACCCGCAGGGCGCGGGTTCGAATCCCGGCTGCGGCGGCTGCATTTCCGATGGAGGCGGAAATGTTGTAGGCCCGTGTGCTCAGATTTGGGTGCACGTTAAAGAACCCCAGGTGGTCTAAATTTCCGGAGCCCTCCACTACGGCGCCTCTCATAATCATATAGTGGTTTTGGGACGTTAAACCCCACATATCAATCAATCAAGTTCTTCCTCATATGTGGCTCCTTTTTTTTTTCATCAGGCCTGTCTTGAACACTTAACGCTACTTCTTGCTCTTTTCAAATTTTCTTGCTACATTCGGATTTCGGATTCACCTGCTCTTTCGAAGATGTTCTTCATTACGATATGATTTAGCTGGAGTGGGGTATAATAATAACCGAGCATCGATAAGTGGCCATGCAGCGGGAAAACATTGTCACCAAACGAATTATATATATTGACGGTTGATAATGGCGAGGAAAACAATGTCGTCATTGGAGGTGTTCTCGAAGTGAATCGTAGATGTGGTTTATATTCTGAAATAAACCGATCAGCTCAAAGCAGTTGGGTGCAACTGATTACTGTGCGTTAAGTTGCATTTGAGATCGCATATATGGTTACGTTCTAGGCCAATGAAGCAAGTGGCCAATTAGAATTCATTATCTCCTAAATCGAAATTTCAGTTACTCTTTTCTGCGTTTTCAAACAGAAATGCATTTGAATCTTCTTTACATTTGAAAAAGCACTTGCTTGATATTCCTATCAAGCTGTATATGCTCTTGGTTTCAAAAAATGACGAAACTTACTCTCCTTCTTTCAGGTTCCAAAGTACAATTTAAGCACCATCTTACATATCTTGATTCAGATAAAGTCTGTGCTGTCATCCGTGTTTCTCCAATGTTTTCCACTACAAGTTCGTATGCAAACTTTTTTCTTGTCCCAATTATGAAAATAAGTCACTTGGCAACGTCGTTCTTGGTTAAACGATCAAATTAATCATCATTACCCTATAAAAAAATTCTTAGTACACAAATAGTGTAAGCCATTAGAGCGCATTCGATTTTATTATGAGCCGATTGCACAAGTCTGCATGTTTGTGTTTAGTTTAGAGGACCAATATTACATATGGCGCCCACATTCTCCCTGAATATTTTGTATTTTTTAGCATTTATAACAAAATGGTCACCTGGAGTTAAAAATTTCAAGACTTCTCCGTTTGTGATATACAGCGCATATGTAAAAAATTGGTCCAGCTACACACTACGGGCGCGGCGACTGCGGACACCATGAAGCTGGTGGCCCTTCCCTAGCCACTTCTCTTCTACTCACCTTGGCATGACTTCCACTCACGCTCAGTTCTTTTCCGTGCCCTCTTGCTATACTGTAGTATGCATGAGTACCACATGCTTTTCGTTATTTCCTTCTCACTCTCACTTTCCTTGCCCGCGCCAATGCTATAGTATACTGTAAATGACTATACCGTGCTTTCTTTCTCTTTTTTTGTTTCTTTCTTCCTCATCACTTTTTATTTTGCTGTTAATCTTTCTCTCTCTTCCTCTTTCTTCCTCCATTTCTTTGTATATTTAGGACTTTTTTTTCTTAGCTGGCCTATAGCAAAGCTATCCTATCATTCTCAGGCAATGTTTTTTTTTTCTGGTAGTATGACCTATATACCGTTTAGTCACAAACGCTCGCCTTTGCGCTTTAGATCCCAGGGTTCAAATGGCAACTCACCAAGATTTTCCTCTTATTATAATTTTACCTTCTCCTCTTATCCTTCTTTCTTACAACGCGTTCTTATGCATTTAGATGTCATTCTTTTATGAGTTCATTCTAAAAACAATTCGCAGAAGACCTTCTGAAAACAGAAAATGCTTCTCGGTATTCTTTCAAGTATTTCGAAAAATAGCGTGCATTTCTTCTTAAGAGCATTTATTTTTCAGCACGTTCAAGCTTTGCTGTCTTCCTACAAAAAAAACATATTTTGTTAGGATTAGGAGGAGCCTCATAAAAATAGTGGGAGGCTAACTTATGCACGCCAATTCATGCATAGTCAAGAAATGAACAGGTATAGCATCGCGGTGGGAAATGAACGTGAGCATGATACGTAATACGAAAGGACAAGGGCGCTTCTACGAGAACATGGCGAAGCATGCCCGAAGTCTACCGAGATAACTGGAACGACTATCTCTGAAAGTTTCACAAGTCAAACCCCGTTGTTGATATAGGTTGTTTTTGTGCTTTGTGTAGATAATCTCAGGTTATGTTTAGGTTGTTGCTATGCTTTTGTAAAGTAATACTAGGTTGTTTCTCCGTTCCTTAAAGGTTTTTTCCAGGCTTTCACTAGGTCCATCAAGGTTATTTCTAGATTGCTTCTATGATGTTGGTAGGAATACGTCAGTTGATCTACGTTGTTGTTGGGCTTTTTCTAGGCTGTTTTTAGATTATTAGGTGTTCTGCTCGCCCACACAAGTGTGAAACTTCACTGTCAAGCCTCGATGACCTAATATAAGTGGCACTATTTCTTTCTTTCTATGGCTTCCTCTCTCATACTGTCCCCTTTTATATTTCTCTTTTTTGTAATGTGCGTGTTATTTTTGAACTTTTATTTATCTTTTTAATTAATAATAGCCATTTCTCTCTTACTCGTTCATGTACTCTGCTTCGAAGAGCAGAATTCTGGTGTAACATTGGGACCTGCTTTATTGGTTAGGGGGCCTTGTGCAATTCATGGAGGACATACCCACCTAAAGTGGTTTGCCAGACAGAGTACAACACACTGATAGCTTAGACAGATTCACTGTAAAAATAATATAAAAGAAAGCGGGCTGTTTCATATAATGATAGTTCCGTACGCCTTGTACTCACCAAGACTTTTACTGAAGGCTTAAAGAAATTCACTGTTGAAAGCATGCGAGTCCTTGTCTGAATGCACCAACCATTGTGTATATTCACGTATACTGGACAGATCTGGAGAGGTTTTGCGACAATCTTTTCATAAGACAATGAATTTTTAAAGAGTCATCACATGCAAACATTACAGTGAAATGGGGATTAGCGCAACGAAAGGCTTCGGGAATAGAAATAATGCTCTATGACCTAGCTATTACACTGTCGCACAACAACTTCAATAGTGGGCCAAAAGGATTCGGTGGATGCCACATACCATTAAAATAAAATATATGCGAAGCACGCAATAAAGTTTCATTACGTCACTAACCTTAACATGCACAGACTTTTACGAAGTGGATTAACCTTAGCAATCCCCATACATACAGGTACCTTACACTTGCACGTCACATACACTGTTCGGACGTTCGAAAAACGTGTGTAAATCACAGCAGAGTTGCCACGTCCACGCATAGTGTCACTGCAGCGCTGACAACACTTTTTCGTGAAGTTCAGCGTCCGAGAAACTAGCAGCTCACGCTGCAGCAGACTACAAGGTCTTATTCGCACTGTTTTTAAAAGAGGCTCACGAAGAAAATGCAAACTAGTCGCCTATTTATTCTGCTGCTCACACCCTTCCATTAACATATTTCATTTGCACGCATTTTATTTTTTAGTATGTGTTGATGTGTTTTTGCCACCGTTAATATTTTATTATTTTCTTTTTTCCAGCGAAGCCTTGGTATGAGCTCCGAGTTCAGAACTGGTTCCTTTTAAAATATCGCCACCCTTCAATAACATGTGAACACTATTTCAACCTCCACGCAAAGCAAGGACGTCTTATTTATCATCCCTCATGCCAGAAAATTATTTTCAAAGCACATCAAACGCCACAGAAAACCATGCCAGCACAAAAGCCGCAGCTGTCATTCAGGAACACGAGTGTTTGAAGTTGCTATAATATAGTGCAAGTATTTCGTACATAAAAGATATGTTTATTCTGGGAGTAAATGTTCTAATTTGGCTTTATGCTGGGAAAGAGGAGTAAGGTTGCTCTATTGTGCAAATTTCTTGAGCGATACGATATTCAATAACTTGGATATTGTAGCGTAAGTTACGCAGGGTGAATAATAAACCGTTTCGCGTGACTTATGGTGAGCAGTTTTGTGAAAGCGCAAGGATAAGTGACGTCACACGACACACAGCTTGCTTGCCGGTGAAGGCCTGGTGGCTCCTGGAGTGACGTGTCACCAGTGGGCTGACACTTGACTCGCGTGAGATCACTCGCTCAATAGTCGGTCAGTCCACCCATCTGTGTTTCATTTACCAGTTCATTTGTGACTCGTCCATCCATCCGCCCACCCTTTCATTCGTAACTCACGCTTTTGATATCAGCGCATAGCTGAGCTGAGCCACTGCTATATTCTTTTTTGCACGGCATGAATTGCGAATGTACCAAAATTCAGGCAGCAAACGAAGACAAGCGTTATATGGTGATTTGCAAAGATCACGTCGCCTGGTTCTGACGGTTAAGAGAACAAAATGTAGCAAGTAAAGGCGCATTGTTTTGTTCAGAGAACATGTTCTCATCAAAAGAAGTATTGATTGATTGATTTGTGGAGTTTAACGTCCCAAAACCACCATATGATTATGAGAGACGCCGTAGTGGAGGGCTCCAGAAATTTAGACCACCTGGGGTTCTTTAACGTGCACCCAAATCTGAGTACACGGGCCTACAACATTTCCGCCTCCATCGGAAATGCAGCCGCCACAGCCGGAATTTGATGCCGTGACCTGCGGGTCAGCAGCCGAGTACCTTAACCACTAGATTACCGTGGCGGGGTACATCAAAAGAAGTAAAACTGTAATTGCAGGTGATGCGCAAAGCACAGAATTCGGTCATCGGTAATGAGAATCAAACAAACACGTTATATTTCTGAACTGTAGAAAGTTGGAGCATTATCATTGTGGCGAGCTTGAAGTCCAGCACTCACCAGGTTACATTTGTAGTACGCGCAATCTTGAAATAATAGTCTAAAACATTGAAAGTTTTAATAATAGTTTAGAGAGTTTTACAGTTCAAAACCAAAATAGATGTATGAGGGACTCCATAGTGGAACGTTGTGGAATTTTCCATATCTGATTTTCACTAACTAGGGCCCAAAGCTAGGCACATGGGCTTCACATGGGCCACCCTCGAGCATTTTACCTCTATTTGAACACGATCACCGCAAAGCAAATTTATCTTGCGACCCCCTGTACTATCGTTGCGAGAGCAGATGTTCGGTCAACGGTGCCATAACGAACCCGAGCCTACACGGGGGGTTAGATCCCCACCGACTCATCGACGTAAGTGGCTTACCCACGTCCTCGAAAGAGAGGGTACTGTGTGCCAAACCGACGGTGGGTGGTTGGAACCCATTGGCTCTGGCTGGCGTGCACATCACCCTTGGGTTGACGCATCAAGGGAAACCGACAGTCTGCTTCTCCTATATCACCCTCCCCAAACATCCGTCTTGAACCACTGCATGGTCCGTGAATCTCAGCCTGGACCCGCCCGAGTTCCACACTCGTTCAAGTTCAAGTTCCAGCACTCCTACATACCGACTCGGGCACGTCCGAACCGAGCCTGGAAACTCAAAAGCGAGGCCCGGGTTCAGCTTGGCCTGAACCCGACGAAAATGCTTCAAATATTTGACCCTGCCCAACTGCGAATCGGGCCAGACAAGGGTTCGAGCGAATATTCTAGGTGGTGTTGGCCGAACACGAAATTGATAGCAAAGCAATATAAGCAGCAAATATTTCCGCTTTTTGGCTTATGCTACATGTACACGTATGCTTTAGTTTGCGGTAATGTGTTTAAGAAAAGCGTCTCACTGTGGTAATAGATGAGCGGACATAGTGCGCACGTTCACTACTGTACACTATGCGTATGTTTTATAGTTAAGCTACTTTGTACATTTATTTTTTCACCTCATCTCATCTCATCGGTATCAAAGAGCTCCTGTGAGGCGCGAGAAGACGGAAGAGTGGGGCGCATGGAGGAGAGGGAGTGAATGGCGAAAGAAGGAGCGGCGAAGCACTGCACCTACCTCTCCCACTCTCCCTCGCAACACATGCTCCGGTTGCTAGGGTCGAGGATAAGCGCACGCACCAGCCACTGTTGCTATAGAAGAGCGAGTGAAGCGGACAGATAACGCCTGCCCCGGACACCGCCGCTTACAACGCCGGATGACTTACGTAGCCCGATTAAAAAGTGTATTCACATTAAAAAACTTGAAACACAATTGAACCTGGAATGACTTTCGAAGAGCATCAATAGTATTCAAAAGTTTCTTCACAGACATACCCCAAAATTTCTATGTATAAACCAAACCCACCTTGATTTCAGAAAGCATACCAACTTTTTGCAAACTATATCTTTCGCAGACTGTTAATGTTGATGAATGATGTTAAATATTGTGTAGACGACGAAGATAGTCACTATCATCATTAGAGAGTTACCATCTGGGGTCGGAATAAAGAAGAGGTCAACGGGTGGGCTTCACTATGGGCACGGCGGCTCGTCCCTTCCTCAACATTTTGATGCTGTGAAACACGAGAGGAAGGACCTTCATAAGAGAGATGGGGCAGCCTTCACAAATTTCGACCGCAGTTGCAGCCTTGATGGCATTTGTGAAGCCGCCGTCGCTAAAGCTGATGTGCGAGGCCTAACCATCGCTGTGACCTGGGAGTTCGACTCCAGTTGCCACTAAGACTACTAGGAGAACCCATGGACTGACGTCAGTGCTGGCATAGTCTAGAGGTTAGCAAGACGGCAGCCCTCACGTCTACTTCGGCTCCGTCTCGACTCGCCCTTCACAACGATGGCCCAATGCTCACAAGTGAAAACAGTCCCTAGGTCAACGACATGCATCTTGACAGTGCAGCCCCGTGAGTGCAGGCATCGTCTGGGGGCTCGCGAGACGGGAGCGCTCACATTTACTTCGGCTCTGTCCTGACTCGCCCTTCACCACGACGGCCCGATAATCGCAAGGCAAGACAGTTCATGGAGGTCGACTACGTACATCTTGAAGGTGCGTCAACGTGAGTGCAAGCATCGTCTGGAGGCTCGCGAGATGGGAGCCCTCACGTCTACTTGGGCTCCATCCTGACTCGCCCTTCACGACGACGGCTCGATATTCGCAAGATCACGAAGAACGACAGCCGAACAACTTACGGATATTCGTTGTGCGAACTGTCTTCGATGGATGCCGGGTTGACACGACTGTCCGACTTCGCCTCGTGACACGGCCCGACAGTTACTTCTCACGTTTCCGACACTGGACCGTATCATGAACGCCCTCTACGAAAGGCGGAATCAAACACGCAAGGCCGTCACGCCGGTCATCGCAGATATCGGACAGCTTTGGCATATGAACCACCCATCAATTCGGTGAAGAAGTTTCACCGAATTTTGACTGAACAGTACGAGCTTCTCAGAGGAATTGATGAGGAGATTGCAAGCCCATGCAAACCCAGTTGACATAGATCATTAGAAGTGGAAATGGAAGAAGCCGAAGTTTATAAACGCCAGATTATGCTAGCGACGGTGCGAGCGGAGTATAAGATTAAAGATGCACAAAAGGCTCGGCAAAGTCACGTGAAAGCGATAAAACAACGGATGATAGCAGAAGCAGAAAGGAAAATACTCTCTTCGTCTCCGTCACCCCCATCTAGCCATCACGTGCCGAATGGCAATTTAGTCGCACAGAAGCTAGATGAGTCGGCCTCAGGACAAAAGAGGGAATATAACAGCAGCATACAAACCAGGGTTCCCACGACAGAAAAGGCAAACCAAGAACCCGACACCGAAAAACAGCCTCTAAGTCTGAAGACACCTTCCACGACTTTAGAATTCACGCCAACGATCTGTACCCACGAAGGTAATGACAGACTATCTACAACAACTCAGCTGATCAAGGTGGAAGACATTTCTTTGATAGGAAACTGTGAAGCCTTTAAATATCACAAAGGTAAACCGCCAGGTCTTAAAGATGAATTCACGCCGAAGACGACAACTCCAGACCAAGTAATGTCCCCACCAATATGCTTAGAAGCGCCTGGCGGAAGCAAGACAAGACCACTTCTTAAAGCGAGTGGAAACAGAAATAATACCACGAGGACACGGATTCAAGTCCCTTGTACTGCATTCAGGTTCTCCTCTTCTAGGAAGCTACAAACGTCAAGGTTGAGAGCAATACGGAGGACCCATCTTATTTCAGCAAAGAATGCCTAAATAGCATCACAGCCACGTATAAGACAGAGCAGACCAAAACAAAAATAGATGGCTGGTGCTTCTGAGGTAAACAAAGGCAAGACGAGAAAATCAAGAAAACTGTCCAAAGCGAGCAACAGTAAAACATCGTGGAAGAGAATGCATCATGAGTGTTCATGTGAACTGAAAGTGTTCATCGAAAGTCCACCATGGAGAACACGTTCAAAAACATGCATTTAGAACAAACATCGGAAACTTCGCTCTAGGAAGAGCCGGCACAGGAGAAAACTTGAATTGTCCCGTGTGGACTGACTTGGAACTAAATTAACTACTAACTAGTATTGTGTACTAAGTACCTTGGTGTGTGTTTAGTGTTCTTCGTCGCCATGCGTCATTACGGGGGCGCGGAGGATGTTAAATATTGGGTAGACGACGAAGATAATCGCTATCAACATAGGAAAATACCAGCTGTGGTCGGAATAAAGAAGAGGTCAATGGGTGGGCTTCACCATGGGCATGGCGGCTAGTCCCTTCCTCAACAAATGATGTGCTTGCGTCATCTGGTGGTACTATTGTGATAATAAATTACATCGTGCCATGGTATGCAACTGCAAACGGTACCGGAAACAGTGGCCATTGAATATGTTTTTTGAGAAAAACTGGTAACGGTTCAGTTGCTTGATATTGTATCCTTACACGATATGCTACACAAACATACTTTACAGTGTTTTATAAATAAGTAGCAAGTACAATACCTAGTTCTC